GTTTTTCTTCACGATGATTAAATTAAGGTAAATGACCTGAACATGAACTGGCATGCCGCAAGATTCTAATTTGCCGTCAAGTACGGGCGTTCTCAGTGGTTTGCATAAGACGTAGGCCAACACAAAGCCCCTCTTCCTAATTCCATGTCACAGAAGACAGTGATTATCTTTTTTTTTTTACAACAATTCTACTAGAAACGAAATATTCCTCCCACGCTTCTACTTTGGTGATATTCGTAAGAGTGAAAATATATCAAGCAAAGGCATTACGTTGCTTGAAAATGTCAGGCTTGTATGAAGTTGTTTTTGCGAGAGGAGTGTGGCTTAGATTTTCTTCATGAAGTATGGTCGAGCATGTTGACAGCGTTACAAAAGAGCACTCAAAGCTTCTCTGAAACACATTCGAACACCCCAGCATTCCGGAAGAATGGCGTTTGTGATATGCCAGATCAGCTCACAGTAAGCAGAATGTTTCGAGGTTTGAAATCTACGCTGTTATGGGTGGAGGACAAGTGAGCTGATCTGGTCGCTTATTACCATTACCACCATACCAGTTCCTCGGAAAGCATCTTATAATCGTCATTTTTCCGGAATGCTGAGGGTGTATGAGTTTACTTCAGACGGTCGAGCTATTTCATTCTATTTACAATCTAAAACTTTTCTTGTGATGTGATTTTTCTCGTCTCTGGCTGTAAGCTGCTTCGTGTGTAACATCCCGTATTTCAATGAGATCGGGGTACGATGGAGTTGGAGTTGCTTTACTGTTTCAGGATGTTCTACGAATTCGAGCGAAGCTCTGAAGACGTATGTGAGGGTTCATCCGGTTCATATCACGATAGGCCAGATAACATCCTCTATCCATTTTACAAGTCCTTTCATCGTTATCAGCATGCTTAGCTTCCAAAACTACCACCAGCCCATGGGCCTGGAAACAGGCCCACGTCACTAAAGAAACTTTCAATAGTCAACGCTGCACAGGTGAATAACTTTAACATTATCTTACCAGTCATAGAGGCCCACTACGTGGAACATCCCATCGAGCTATTCAGCTCAACTGGAAGTTCTAGCCATCCACTGGCTCATTTTACATCTGTGCAAAGTGATACTGTATCAGGACTATTGTTAATACTGTGATTGTACAATGTTGTTAATTGCTCAATGTATTACACAAAAACTGTATCAAAGTAAGTAAATACTTTATAAAGGCTCTGTACACATCATACTCAAGGATCATCATGTCAACAAGACAATAACACAACAAAAATTCAACAACACCTACATTACTACGAGGTATCGAACCCCATGAAGCTTTTGATAGCGGCTATCGGATCACCATTCACTTCGATCAATTTCTTTTCCACTACACTCTGGAAAGAAGAGCAATAGGAAATCAAGGGAATTTACGAAAACATTACAAAAAAGGAATTAGAAGGAACGAAACAATAAAAGGGAATTAAAGCTTAAGGTGAAAGTACCTTGGGCAACTCAAGCTCATTCATAATCATTTCCAGGTCGTCCTTCTTGATGTTAACTATCTTGCGTTGAGGCTCAAAATGGAGACACTCCGATTTGATACAAATAATGATTAAAAAAGTATTACTGACTACCTGTTGTGGGTTGGATATAATCTTTCCTATCGCATCTGATGACATTTTCAAGTCATCCTTCTCCTCTTCAACCACTTTAACCTGAATAACTAACAAAGTAATATCTTGTCAGATCAAAAGCACGTTTCATTAGCACTTTCCCGAAGAATGAAGCACACCCTCTAACAGTCCTCAACAGATAGGAGGTGATCGCTGCTACACACTTCGTGAGCATGGAATGCAACCACCAAGTGTACCAAACTGCTTTCGCTTTATCGAAACAAAGGAACGGTGATCGTAATTAAGAGCAGTATGGAACCCATTTCCATAATTTCTAATCCAGGACCTGTTGAACGATTTTGGAGGCGATAATTCAACGGCACACAAGAAAAACATTCCCTCGATCGAGGTGAGAGTTTGAGCCCTGCTGTGTTTTGATGATACAGTAGTGAATTTTAGCTCTTCCCATTCGGTTATAATAAAATTTGAAAGAAATGAAGTTATAGAGAAAATCACCTTTTCCAAATCTGCTGCTCCCCAATTGTGCTTGTCATTCTGTTTAACTTCTTCCTCTCCCATTCCGTCATCCTTGTCCGCCATTATTTGTTCAGCTACCTCCGATCTGACCTGTGCGAACTTCTCGCAACTGAAATCGATCCTCATTTAACATTATGCCCTATCCTACTTACTATGTTACTTGTACAGGCATTGAATGCCATCGAAAAACACAATTAACGTGCGGAAAACATTTAAGATAAACTCACGGTCGCGATCACTTAAATAGAAAGGCCATCGAAAGCGTACGTAGCTAGGGCTTTTAAAATGCTACAGTACAAAATAAGAAATACATCCTTACAATATGCCCCTGACCCTTTCAGGATCCATATAACAGAATATTGATGACTATTTCATTCGTTTCGCTTCATAATGAGTTTAAAGGAAAGAAAAAAACATTAAAAAAAACCATAAATATGCGGAAAAATGTGTCCAACGAACTACATTGCCCACTGAGAATCACGTCACCGCAAACAGCTGTACAAAAATCCTAAGCGTATCCAAATTCCCACCGTATCACCAGAGTGACACACACTGGGGCTAGAGAATAAAGAGAGAAAGATTTTCAGTGGAAAACGAAGAAGAAATGAAATTTAAGCAGAAAGAAAAAGGAGTCATCAAATTCCCATTAAACCGTGCCCCAATGCAGATACTATTCTTGCGTCAATCAACCACCTACTGACCCGCTGACAGTTCTGGCGCGATTTGTGCGCCAAGTTTTGTTCGAAGTGTAGATCGCCCTTTGATTTCATCACCATTTTTGTTCCGGTCTTATCATTCATTATCATCACCACAGCGATGTTTTGCTGTCAATATCGCAATTGATCGCTACTGATTCTTATTGTTTTTGACATTTGGATTTTTTCCTCTAACCTTGATTAATCAGTTGGAATTTGCATGCTGTTCACGGGTTTGCTGTGGAAATCAATCAAGAAAAGTCTTCTTTAAGACGTCAAAGAGCTGCACATTTCTAGTTTTTACTTTGCAGCGAATCTAGCTTGATGCAATTTGAACACTGATGACTCATCAAGCATTAGCCAAGAGGCATTCTCGAAACTTCTAGGAACGATTTGTAGGACTTAAACCAATTTGCAAACATGAATAAAGAATCTTTCTAGGGCCTGTGGCGGAAATGGACAGTGGAGAAGCCTCCGCTGGAGGAGCAGCTCCAATTGAGGTTTGTATCAACATTATTGAATTCATTGTTTGAAGTTGGAGAAAACACTGGGAGGAACGTTTGCTGAAGGAAAAGGACATAAATGACGCTCAGGAGGGCGCTTGTAACTCGATGACTTTTTTTGGGGAGAGAGGGCGAACTGAAGGCGAAAATCCAATTAGGGTGATTAGATTTTCTCAACGTCCAGGGCTGAAATGAAACATTTGTCTATACTGCTGAGGAACAAAAGTAGTCTACAGAATCATGAAATTGGCCTGAAACCTTCGAAAACCTTCCGAAAATACGAGTTACTGGTGGGCGGTACTTAATCTTATCGTGAGCTCCTGGGTATAAAAGCTGTGATAGAGAGCCTGTGTTACTTCTAAACCTTACTAAGCGCTTTCGAAGTGAAGTATTGGTAGATTGGTGGAGTGATTGATTGATCGATCAATCAATGAGCGAGAAATCGACCAACAATGTCGGCCAGGTTGGGTTTTTTGTCATTTCAAAGCTCTTCTCGGATTTTTTTTTATCAAAAACAATATAATGGTTTCTTAGAGAGATAGACGGATCAGTAGCCTAGAGGAGCTCTTGCTCTAGTAGGCTACCATTGTTAGAGGCAAACTGAATTCCAAAAAAGGATCAAATTGGATTTCTATTGAATTAGTCACCACACACTATTCGGACCCTCCTTGCCAGACAGGTGAATTGGGAGGAAGGTGGGAGAATGGGTGGAGTATCTAAAATCAATGTTGCGGTCCTCAAGGTTTTCTTCACAGATGTTGGACGTCGGAAGAATCTCCTTTTTGAGAAGAACTCGAACCGGGGTACGTCCAGTATGATGGGATCCCATGAGATAGGACGGGGATTCCATTTGGCTCAATAAGTCCCATTTTGCACGCAGCTGTGGCAAGTTTAACGTCAGCGGAATGATGGTGATATGTGATAAGGCCATTGAATAAGCAGGTCCCACATCCTTGAATTGGCTCACAGTTTCAAAATAGACATATTTCAATCAGAGGATGCTGACCGAACAGCGGAGGCGATGAATTCGATTAAAATACGGCTAAATGGTGCATAGCTTTTTCTTGTTCGAAACGACGCTGCAGCTGAATGCCCGATTGCGCTTCAGCCGAAGAAAAGCCCCTGTTTAATTATTCATCAGATCGAAAGAATAACATCTTGTCGCATTCCAATAATTTTCAAGGACTATCGAGAGCATTTCGTGTATCGATATAGTCGTGGCGCTCAATTAGGCCGTATGTGTGCGGCTGCCCGCAAAAACTCTGTTTGCCCCGACCACCACCGCCGTCGTCAGTGCATCTGTGCGGCCACGGATTATGAAATATCGACACTGAACGGGTGTCTCCTCCGCATCATATTCATTCACTAGACTTGTCTGTGGTATTGTTATACACTAGCTATTCATGCCATGGAAAGCCCCAGTCCATCGCCTAGCCCTGTGCCGTCGAAAGAGGTTGCTGTTACAAAGGTTTCTGTAAATTTGTTAGTGTATTTATAATGTTGCTGTGGAATTCGCTTAGCTTCTGCTGTTAAAATGGTATTTTGATGCTAACAGGGTCGAGAGCTAAAGTATTTTGCCAGGAACTGCTGGATCACATTCAAGTAGCTGGGTCTAAAACTTTTTCTAGTGAACTGAAAGGCAAATTTTGCATGCTGAGTATTACTTTTGCTATTGATTTTCTCGGAGAATTTTTCGTGGCTTCTTTGGAGACCGGTTAGTTACTGGAGAACTCGCGCAAGACGCTCAATAACTCGGATGTTTTAGTTGGCATGAAATTGGAGATTGCCTTGAGATAGGACTGCCGGCCGCTGCGCGCTTGGTTACCATTGGATATGGAGAGAATCGAAATAGTAATAATAAAATAGGCCCAATCCATCTTCCCATATGGCTCAGGCTTTTCTTCGGAAGGAAACATGTCTGAATAGATTTTACGAGAGATTGCAGTCCGTGCAGCATTGTGAGATTGCCGCCAGTGTTATGGAAATGTGTAAAAAGTAGTCAAGTGGTCCGATTGATCGCTACTGGTTTAATTGGTTTTCAATTTTTCCTATTGCCCCTGATTCCGTGCTGTAATCCGGTTTCATCAATGGGCCTCATATAATAGCCTGAATTATGCATAAACTGTGGAATTCCTAGTTGGAACACTTTTTTTCTAGTCATGCCTATGCATCGCTCCTTCATAACCATCATTTGCAGTCAGTATGGAAATGGAAGGGCTGGGTAGGCGTATCTCTGTGGGGATTTTGCTCATCTGATTCAGTAGAAAAGCCCCCCTCGAGTGGTGAACTTCCTTGTGTAGGTACTCTATCCGGGGGCAGTCGTATACTAGGATTAACAGGCAAAGATAATTGCCGTGAAGTGGGAGAATGATTGGCAAAAGCAGTAGCCAGTCACAAAATTAACGCTATTTCGATTGGCTTGCGGAGTAGGTATCAGAAATGACGTAAGAATGAATCATCTCTGTTGTTATAGGTTGCAATAGCGTCAAAGGATTCGGTGACGGATTATGTCAAGACGGCCGGTTTGGCGTTGCTTGGTACTATGGACCAAGCGGCCCAGTTGCAAATGATCTTGGACGAGTCAGACGCCGTAGCAAAATTCATCAGCGATCCACAGACGCAGGTACTCGTTGTCGACCGAACCGTGCATCGAGGTGAATCTTCGAATTCATATTATGCTATAGACCTTTGAGATTGATGTAATTCGACTAACATGTGGGCGCAATTGCTTTTCTTTTGGAATTTGAAAATTATTGAACTAAGAATGTGAATTCCCCGAAGTGCTCTTTCCATCTTCCCGGGTAAAAACATGGGATGAAAGAAATATTCATAAATCAGTTCAGATTAAGTGCTGATAATTCTGTGCTTTATTTACCCTTTGATTTTTATCTCACGTTAATTGCCACAGTATTTGAGGCGTTTGCGATGAATGGTTTATCTCAATGCTCAATGTTTCAAAGAATGCAGTCACTGCAAAATGTCACCCCATTGAGCTGTAATGTATTGAGGAGGCTAGAAACTTGAGATGGTGTTGTGCAAGACTAATGGGGAATCGAACATGAACTTTTTCTTCTTGTTTGCCCAGTTGTTCAGCATGTATTCTGATTGTAAAACCCTTTGTACATGGCGCCCAGAGTTAGTGCAAAGAGTTATTGTTCGTTGTTGGATTATGTTGTTTTTCAGACCAATCTGGAGATGCAGATACAGGCGATGAGAGTGAGTCGGTAGTCGCGGTGTTCACAGTTCGTAATGATGTCCTTTATCGAACGGACAAAAGTACGTCGATAGTGTACATGAAGAGAGGTGGTGTGCTGGAAGCCGATAAACCGATCGCAGATCAACTACGAGTGATAGTGTACGTACAATTATTTCTTCAAACTGCTCAGTGTTTCTCAAATTTCTAAAACCTGAAGTGCCTCGGCTTTTCAGGCTGAATGAGGGCAATCCCTATGAAACACTATTTTCACTAATCGGCAAAGCAGTGACTCCTTATTTCAAGTCGTTTATCAAGGAGAGCGGTCGAGGTGAACGCGATGGCGATAAGTTAGCGCCAACTGTTGAGAAAAATCTCAATGAGGCTGAGGTATGGGTGAAGATTTCTTGGTGTAATTTTAAAAGCTGATACAAACGCAACTTTAGGTTGCCCTGTTACATCTCCAGCAGAACATTGACATTCCGGAAATCAATCTTGTAATCAATCCACACATTCAAGCTGCGATTCAGAAAGCTAACAAAGAGGGCAGAAAAGCAAAGGTAGATGACGTGTTGACTGGTATTACTGTACCCTCATACACTCATACTATTGTACTTGTGCAGAGCTGTGAAAATCTTTTGATTTAGGTGACCGATTTGGGTGATCTTGTTGAGGATGCACAATTTTTGAACAGTCTTCAGTCTGGAGTGAACAGATGGATCAAGGAAATACGAAAGGTTAGCCTTTTCTCTTGATGAAGGTGCTAACACTGAGAGCGTCCTTTATGACGGGCTGCGATTATCAGTATGGTGATTGACACTTGCTTCGATAGTACTGGTTGATCACAACCTTCAATGATAAGTATTGTTTTTAACTGAATCAGTGTCAGGAAAGCGGAAGTGAATAGATTTGGCCAGTGTTACCCGTAGGAGGTTTATAGGTTGTGCACATATTTGGTTACGACTTGAAGTCAAAGGAAACAAATACACCTGCTCTAGTAAGTAAAGAAGTTCTAGAGATACCTTATGAAAGAACTTTGCACCTTTTGAAGATCAGACATTCTCAGAACCCATATATTTGACGACTTTGGTACAGGCGCCTAGGGTTTATTTGGTAGTCCTATTAATCATGGCACTATAGGTAGAGCTATGGCAATTTTAGTTATCATCTAAAAACCTTCAAATAAAGGATGAACCGCTTCCACCATTTCTCTCAATTCATCCAATGAAGCTAATGAATTGCTAGTAAATGGATATCGCTGAGATAAAAAAGCTTGGGGGTTATTTTTCTCCGCTTAAGAAAGCATTGGCCAGCTTTACAGTTATAAGCCAGTTCGACTATCAGTTTCGTTTCCGGAGCTGTCGTCATTTCCAGGTAACAAAACTGGAACGTGATCCAGGTTCAGGCTCATCACTGCAAGAGATGACATTCTGGCTCAATTTGGAGCGTGCATTACAGAAAATACTTCAGAAAAGGGAATCTGAAGAGGTATGGACTTGAAGCACTCCTAAATTGCAAGAATGACACATTCCGATCTATCACTTCTAGGTAACACTAACCCTCGAGGCTCTCAAATGTGGAAAAAGGTTCCATGCAACGGTGTCGTTTGATACAGATACAGGTAAGCTATTTGTTCGTGTCTCATTGGAGTTCTGGCATAGTTGGGACGGCTTCAATGACCATTAAATTTGCATTGTCATTAGAGTGCTTGGTCCCGAGTAGTCGATCTGTTTAGAGCTTAGCATTTGGACACCATGATTCAAGCAATTTTCGACTGTGATTGCCAGATTTTCCTTTGCACCTTTCCTGCTGATCTTTTCTCAGCTTTCTTATCCATATTTGACCAACTGACTTACCCTGCTAGTACTCTAGCGCGAAGTGTCTCTTGGTGAAGTGTTTGATTTCAGGTCTCAAGCAAACGCTAGCCCTTGTAACCGACTACAACTCCTTGATGAAGGACTTCCCGTTGAATGAATTAGTATCGGCCTCTGATTTGGAGTCGATCAAAATTGCGCTTGGTAACGTATTCGGACACATGAAAAAGATTAGGTTTGTTTGTGCAAATTTTTTCTCGTGATTTCCTCCGAAGTTACTGATCGATAACTGTATCAGAATGTCCAAGAATTTTCGAGTCTTTTCGAGCCTGAATCTGCTTTAAAATCACTTTAAGAGCCAGCCGTGGAAGTTTGAACTCCATCACCAACTAGTTTAAGCAGTCTTGTGATATAGTAGTTTCACGACTGGTTATTAGTTCGAGATTCAAGTATAATGGATCGTGAAACGATTACTGCCGATAAGCCTGAAATTCCTTCATGCCTCAAGTATGGATCTTCAGAGACAGCTACTTTCCATAAATTTCCTGTTGTATTATAAAGGGATGCTCCATCCATCGCTACAATGTTCCGCTGGTTCTCAGAACATGCAAAAGGGACTACTGGGGAAGTCTGAATGCTCTGGACGACGTCCTAAGATCTTCCTTTGGCTCTACGTGCATTGGGCCATTGGGTCAGGGCCATCCGGGCGCAACTAGATTTGTTAACAGTCTCCAGTCCAGTGATTTTTCATACGTAGTATTCTTTTCGCATTCGCTGACTTTCTCGTGGAAACATTGTCGAAAACTTCAATGTTCATGAAAGGGTGTTGACCATCTGCATACACTCATTGCCTTTGCTTTTTATTGAAGAGTCGTCTTACTGCTGCCCGATCGATAGGGAGAGGTTGCGTGCATTAATATTTGACATATTACGGTCTGAGGTTATTGTTTGTAAGGTTGGATAGTTTTGAACCTGAAGCACAAACAGTTTCGAAAATTCTTGGCCTCTAGTACATATTATAGTACTTGAAGTCATGCAAGAATCTGTGTTTCAGAGCTACTAAATATCCGGTTCAACGTGCTTTACGGTTCATTGAAGCCATTTCACGCGATATGAATGGGCAAATATTAAAGGTAACCTATTTGTTTTCCTTCTATCTGTTTTTATAAACAGTAATGGCGACAGTTTAGGTACTCGGTACTCGTCGCCTTATGCATATCTCCATAGTTGAATTTGATCAACTTATGATGCAATGTATACAGTTATTCACAAAATGGGATGATGAATACGATAAGTAGGTTTTACTTGTAAATCTTGAAGGGTAGGGATGTTATCTGCGTAGCAAGATTCGTTTTAGTGCTATGAGCCTATCTGTTCAACGGTTTAACCCCTCTGATGTTATAAATCTGAAGGGGTTACTGTACCATGATACTTTCAGATTTATCACCCTTCTACGTGATATATCGAAGAAAAAACGAGATGAACCCGTAAAGCTGATGTGGAAGGTCATGCCCTTGCATAAGAAGCTCGAAGGACGTCTTGTCCAAATAAAGGCTTTCAGGAAGTTCGTTTTTTGGTCATTTTATAGTCTGTAGAAAGATTTCTTAGCCTTTTCCAATCTCTGATTTGATTAGTATTCGCCTGATACTTCAGACAGCATGAGCAACTTCGAGTGGTTATTGCTCGTGTACTACGCCCTGCTGGAACGCCATCTACCGAGTCTCAGCCAGATACTCAATCACACTCGGGCGAAGTGACTCCAGTGGACCAGGTATGCTGTGAATTTGCTGTGGTTGTAATTGAGAGCATTCAGCGTAGATTATGATGTTCAGGTCAACCTTGCATACGAGTTTGTTAAAGAGGTAGACTGTTTGGACGTGAGTATCGAGGGCACCACTGCATGGGATGCTGCACAGCGCAGGTGAGCATGCTAATCCCTGAAATGACTTTTTTTCAAATTTACGCCCAATACGTGTGAAATTCAGGTACGAGGAGCAAATTGCTCGTGTCGAAACTGCAATTACATCAAGGCTTAGAGATCAGCTTGGTTCAGCTCGCAATGCTAACGAGATGTTTAGCATTTTCAGGTACATTACCGAATCACACTAGGTACCACCAGGCTTTTACCAGTCAAAAATAACTTTCAGCCGTTTCAATGCCCTGTTCTGTCGTCCACAAATTCTTGGAGCAGTTCGCGAATATCAAACTCAGTTAATTCAGAGAGTGAAAGAAGACATTGAAAGGCTACAGGTAAGACATTTACCTGAAATAGCACTCTGTATTGTTCCCGTATATTTCCTTTCAGGCCAAATTCACGAAACACTACGCGGAAAAGCGAGGCGAAATTCTGACTCCTACATTTGATATCCCACCAGTTTCCGCCAATATCATTTGGATCCGCCAAATAGAACGTCAACTGTCCCTGTATATGCAGAGAGTCGCCTCAGTACTGGGTACAGGCTGGGAAAATCACGTCGAAGGTAGTTACCGAAAAGAGACACTGTAGCTTGGTTTGGCCACTTAGTGGCCGATATATTTTCTAAAATTGATGGCTTATTTCCGTAATACTGCATTTTCCTGCTGCTCTTTCTGCGATATTAAATATTTTAGTAGTGTTAGTCTGAACTGGACCCATTGTCCTGCGTATATTACCGTATATATCCAAGCTGCGAACCCAGTAACTTACTTAACACAACAATTCTCGGGACACGAACCAATATCAAGTTTATGAAACTTTTTGGATCCGTCGGATGGTAGCTACAGACTTTGTTGAAGTTTCTCCTTGCCTTCCACCACCATATCCATACTATAATACTGATCCATTCTGGATTGATTTTTACTTTTCTTTCTGTCCATTTCAACTGATCAATTTGACTATTTTCTTTGAATCATTTGATAGTCAACGTTTTTCGTTTAAGCACGCCAATTGAAATCAGAAGCAGATAACTTCCGCAAAGTGCTCGATACTCAGCCTTTGTTCGAGAACTGGGTGGAACAGGTGCTCGCGAAAGGAACGAATATGCCCGGTCGAGTGAGTAATATCTTAGTAGTTACAAAATGAAGAGAGTCGGGTATGGAAGTTACCCCTTGAATTTACGTAAAATTAAAGTAAATATTGTTTTTCCTAGGTCTTCGTCATTGATCGACGATCCAAGGATGGAAAACCATACCTACACCTCAAAGTCAACTTCAGCCCCGAAAGTATAGTTCTACACAAAGAGGTATTCCTAGTTGTTTTCTTCTTTGAGGATTTCCTAGCTTTCCTTGTATTGCTTACACCGTTTTTTTGTCAAGCCATAATGGTATTTGAAAAGGCCAATTTAGGTACGAAATCTGAAAAATATGGGTTTCCGCATTCCGCTGAAAGTAGTGAATGCTGCTCATCAAGCTAATCAGATCTATCCATTCGCCATCAGTCTTCTTGAGTCCACTCAGGTAGTAATCTTTTCTATATATGGAGTGGCTTTCATTTAATTTGACTGGTTAATTTATTTAAATTTCATTCATGATTCGGTTTCAGACTTATGAATCGATTAATGAGCGGCTGGCACAAAAGACCGGTATTGATACGTTGATTGCAAGCTACAAAAAGGATATACAGTCACAGATAGCCGATGGGTATCAGTTGAATTGGGAGTCGTATAAAATTGATCCCTACGTCACGAAACTGGCTGAAACGGTCAACAACTACCAGGTAATCTCCTTCCTCGTGAAACCCGGCCTAACCGTTCTCGGCGAATTTGAATGATTGGGCGTATTTGATTTAGGAGCGCGTCGAAGACCTCATCCTTATTGCGGACAATATCGAAGTTGACTTAGCGGCATTGGATACCTGCCAATACAACGCTGTTACCATTGGTGCCCAACTGGCTTCTATACAAAAGTCTGTTGATCAGCTAGCACTCGGCAACTATTCGAATCTGACACAATGGGTTGATAAATTGGACAAGAAGGTATGTCTCTTGAATAAGTTTTTTCCGATTTGTTGTCTTTCAGTATAGTTCTTCTGGTCATTGTAGGNCAACTGTTTTCGGTTACAGTAGGTACAAGACGCGTGCGGTTGCAATGCGTTCCATTTCCAGATTGAAGCAAAACTGGCTGCTCGTGTTGAAGAGGCAATACGACTATGGACATTGGTCTATTCAGCCAGTGAGGAAGTAGATGAATACAAGGAGAGCAACGTTGCCCTTCCACCTGTTCATCCTGTCCTCATCGAGGTAAATATGTTTACAAAATTGAATTTACGTTATATTACCGAGCTTTAACGCCAAGAATGTGTGGAATGCTCTTTTACTTTAAGATTCGACTTACTGCTCAAACCATCTACATTAGTCCATCGATAGAACAAGCAAGAGCCAAATTGCTTGAGCAATTGGTAGAATGGCATGCAGTCGTCACTAGTCAGCCACGAATCAGCAGTACGCGGTTCCAGGTAGGATAGGAGTATTAAAAAGATCACCCAACACATACAGTTTTTTAAAATGTTGCCGTATAAAATTTCAAGAATGTTGAAAATACCTTAATATCCTGGCTTCTGGAAAACATTGGAAAGCTTGTGCACTCATTACAAACTTTTTTCTTGCTCGAAGCTTTTTCGTTTGTAACATGATACCAATTTTCAAGCTGGCAATGAATCGTGACCTGAACGTAGCCACGTACAAGAACATTCTCAGTCGCCTACCCAATGGGTTAGGTGTACTCGAAAAGGCCTACACTACGGTGGACCGTATTCTGAGGGAGGTAGGTGAAACTAGGTAGTATGTTTCGTCTCCGGCTTCACGAAAGCTATAGTGGTAACTGTTCAGGTAGACGAGTACGTGAATGAATGGCTTCGTTACCAAGCCCTTTGGGATCTCCAAGCGGAGATGCTCTACGAGAGACTCGGTACTGATCTGTCGAAGTGGATGAAGACCCTTGTAGAGATCAGGAAAAGTCGCAGCACATTTGACACTCAGGTACGTTGCTGATTGGCTATTGACCTATGGGGTGTTCATCATCAAATGATTCTTTATAAAGCCTCAAATAACGAAGATCTGAAGCTCATATTAGCCTACAGGGAGCACTTTTCATCTTAAGAAACCGGTTCTTTCGAGCTTTTGAAATAGTATCGAAGGAACACTTAGTTTAGGATACGAAGAAGGAAATATTCCCAGTGATAGTTGATTATGCCAAAGTACAGCTGAAAGTCACTCTGAAGTACGATTACTGGCACAAGGAAGTTCTTCAAAAGTTTGGTACTGCTGTCGGTAGGTTTTTCTCTAATTCGAAGCTCTACCACTAATGCTTTGATGTTTCCACGTTGTTGAAATTCCTAGTCTCTTTTAATGTCTTCTCGTATTGTAGGCAACGAAATGCAACAGTTCTTTGGAAATATCTCGAAGTGGCGTGAAGAGCTGGAATCGCAGGGTGTTGATTCTGGCACGACAACTGATGCTGTAGCTCTCATTACCTACGTTCAAACACTGAAGAAGCAAACGAAAGTCGGACAAGAGACGGTGAGCGTGGATTCCGTTAAGGCGATCAGATGGATGACTAGTCTTGTTACTGGTCTCCGCATGACTTAGGTTGACCAATTCCGAGCAGCCCAACGATTATTGTCACAACAACGTTACCAATTCCCTGCTCAATGGTTGTATGCGGAGAATGTCGAAGGTGAATGGTCGGCGTTGACAGAGATTTTGCTTCGTAAAGATTCGTCAATACAGTCGCAGGTGGGTTTCCAAATCTTTTGTGGCTTGCGGCCTCATTCCAGTTTTCCGTTGTGGATTACTGAGTTGCTAGTGAAGCCTGCGATTTATTTGAGAACTCCTTTCAGGTTAACAACCTACAAACGAAAATCCGTGAAGAAAATGAGATGGTTGAAAAGCGTACACAAGAGACCCTGTCCGAATGGGAACGTGCGAAACCAGTCGAAGGAGCTCAGAGGCCAAATGAGGCTCTTGCTGCGCTCAACACATTCGAACAGAAAATCGCCAAGTTGTCAGAGGTCTGAGTATTTCCTTTTTATGCCTCTGAATAGAACANGATGTGAAGCTGAGTATTGTTGTAGGATCGTGAAAAAATGCGCAGAGCTCGTCATGCGCTCGATATGGCTGATCCTGCTGGAGTTCCTGTGGATGCCGATAAACTAGCGGTCGCTGCAGAAGAATTAGCTGACTTGAAGGGTGTCTGGCAAGCCTTAACACCAATCTACACTTCAATTGATGAAATGAAGGTGGGTGATGGTTTCCATCACTACATTTTTGTTTTCCACCTTCATGTTAGAGAAGGTCATAAGTCATTGGCCTTCGATTTCTGGCTCCGTGGGCCGATTAGCCAATGAGTTTTAATAGCGATCCTGAAAAACCCATTTCCTTGGAGTTTGCCTCGATCTCGAGAACAGTACATCTTAAGTAGGGTTATTTTCGTTCTCTGCTAATGGAGATTACCAATTTAGGAGAAAACATGGTTGTCAGTTCAACCACGCAAATTGCGCCAGTCCCTCGATGAACTCATGAGTCAGCTGAAGCATCTACCGGTGAAATACAAGAGTTACAAGAGTTATGAGTACGCCAAGCAAATGATGCATAACTACTCGAAAATGAATATGCTGGTCATGGAACTGAAATCCGAGGCATTGAAAGAACGTCATTGGCGTCAGATGATGAAGGAACTGCGAGTTACGTGGAATCTGTCTGATCTAACTCTTGGACAGGTGGGCACTCTCATGTTTATTCCTTTTTCTGGTTTTGTAAGTGGGTCTTCATTGCAAGCTATTGATTTGGTCGACGTTTAGGTCTGGGATGCTGATTTGCAACGTCATGAGCATGCAATTAAGCAGATCTTGCTAGTGGCTCAAGGTGAACTCGCTTTGGAGGAGTTCTTGAAGCAGGTTTGTTGAGTTTTGTTTTTTTTAAATTTATTTACTTTTTTCTTCTTTTTTGACTCCAAATATACAAAGGGAATTTTAGATGAAAGATTTCTGGCAATCCTACGACGTCGAGCTGGTTAACTACCAGAATAAGACAAGGCTCATCAAAGGTTGGGATGAGTTGTTCAACAAGCTAAAGGAACACCAGAATTCATTGGCTGCGATGAAACTGTCACCATACTACAAGCAGTTCGAAGAGGTTTATTCCGTGGCCTTCAGTCGGATATTAATTTACTTGGTTTTTTTTCGAATATTGCTTACTTTAAGAATGCACTGTCCTGGGAAGAGAAGTTGAATCGTATCAGCGCTATGTTCGATGTCTGGATTGATGTGCAACGTCGATGGGTGTATTTGGAAGGTTTATTCTCTGGATCAGCCGATATTGCCACCTTGCTGCCCATTGAAAGCGCTCGTTTCTCTAGGTGAATCAGTTCTATCAGTTTCTGGACCATCAAGTCCATCACACGTCATTTGGTTCAATGTTCAATGGTATTATAGCATTTCTACGGAGTTCTTGGCTTTGATGAAGAAAGTCACCCAAGCACCGCGTATTCTTGATGTAGTCGGTATGCAAGGAGCCCAACGTCTTCTTGACAGACTCGCGGATATGCTTTCAAAAATCCAAAAAGCTCTTGGCGAATATCTCGAAAGGGAGAGGGCATCATTCCCTCGGTGAGTGGAATTATTTCAATGCGTATACTTATCTCGCGAAATGATAATTACTTCTTGTAGATTTTACTTTGTGGGAGACGAAGATCTGCTCGAAATCATGGGTAATAGCAAAGATATCACACGTCTACAGAAGCATCTCAAGAAAATGTTTGCTGGTGTGACAGCGATTGATGTCGGAGAAGAGGATCGCATAGTAAGTGACGGGATTCCGTTTTTTCGGGGACAAAAAAGGGGTTAAGTAATACATCAGACATTAGTGCCAAGTCACTTACATGGTTCAGAATGGAGGGCGTTGATACTGTCCTCTGATTCCAAGCTCGGTTTAGAGTTTCCAGTTATCAGTAATTCGTTGGGATAAAGCAGAGCATCTGCCAGAAATGCCGTTCGTAAAATTAAGACATGGATCGTTTAGATTACTGCACTTCACAGTCGTGAAGGTGAGCGGGTGGACCTTGTTCAACCTGTTCATACGAAAGAAGTTCGTATTAATGACTGGTTGAAGGCATTGGAAGCGGAAATGAAACATACCTTAGCAAGGTGAATTCAATAGTTTTGTTTTGATGTGTCCTTAGAATGGCCGGAGTAACTAGCAATTAGAGTTTTCATATACATAGAGCCTTTTTTCAGATTCAAGACTTTTCGTGAAAATTCGGTATTTCAGACTTCTGGGTCAGTCACTGATACATTTCGCAAAACTGGACATTGACACGGTAACTCCTGAAGAGTACATGGAATGGCTGGATAAGTACCCGGTAATTGTTTTTTTAGTTCTACGTTGTTCTTCATAAGTAATTTTGGATTTATGAAAGTTTGTTGATAAGATTGTTATTGTCGATCTGTCCGTATTTTAATCTGTTTTTGATAATTCGAAAGCAGTCCATGTTTCGTCTTCTTTGGAACATAATCGTGGTTTCTGTTATTTTCTTTATCCCTGCTCCATCAATCAAGCGCTAAAGGTTTTTAGGCACAAGTTATTGGACTGACTGCGGAGATTTGGTGGAGTAATCAAATGGAGATTGCACTATCTGACGGCAAGGATGTGGAAACAGTTGAACAGGCAGTATCGGCGACGCTGGCACTGCTAGCTGATTCCGTGCTGAAAGACCAGCCGGCAATTAGAAGAAAGAAGATCGAGGCCTTGGTATGTGGAGCTCATCGACTGATCTCTTTTATTTTCGGAAAATCATCATATCGTGAATCTAGATCACGGAGTTTGTACACAAAAGGGATACATGCAGAAGACTCACCACTGACGCTGTTAAAAGTCAGACAGATTTTGGCTGGCTGCAGTGCATGCGTTTTTATTTCGATCCAAAACAGGTAAAAATCCCTATTTTTCCTGATTTTTTTTTTGCGTTTTTCATTTTCCACTGATTGTTTACGTATGAGTGGGATTTCTTTCTTACCAGTGGGTTGTTTCCAGCCTGATGCAGCACGTTGTTGCGTTGTAAAAATAGCAAATGCACAATTTTACTATGGTTTCGAGTACTTGGGTATTCAAGAAAGGCTTGTGCGTACTCCACTTACGGATCGTTGCTACCTGACGATGACCCAAGCATTGCACTCCAGGTATTCGGCTTGGAGAGATCCTCGCCATAAAACCTAGTTCTGTTTTGTCTTCGCTAAGATGTATTGGATTTGACCGTTCAGACTTGGTGGATCTCCATTCGGACCAGCCGGTACAGGAAAAACTGAGTCTGTAAAGGCACTCGGTCATCAGCTGGGTCGATTCGTGTTAGTATTCAACTGCGACGAAACGTTCGATTTCCAGGTAAAATTTCTTACTGTAGTTTTAATGACAAGGCGGCTTTCTTGAAAATGCTTCTAGGCAATGGGTCGAATTCTGGTTGGTCTGTGTCAAGTCGGAGCCTGGGGTTGCTTCGATGAGTTTAATCGACTGGAAGAGCGTATGCTGTCAGCCGTATCTCAACAGATCCAGACTATCCAGGTATGTGTTATTCTCGTAATCGTCAAAAAACGTTCTACCGAGAATTCAATCGATATCGTCTAAAGTTTGAATCGCAACATATTTATAGGCTACCTTGTAGGTTTCGGGAGTTTTGTTATTTTAATGCCTAGTCATTGCAGGAGGCAGTACGTGCTGGTGGTGAAATGACAGTTGACTTGGTTGGAAAACGATTAAATGTAAATCCAAATATTGGTATCTTCATCACAATGAATCCTGGCTACTCTGGTAGATCAAATCTGCCTGATAACTTGAAACAGGTAGGTGGTATAATTAAGTAATTGACTTGGGCACAAGAGTTGGATCTGCGGTCACTACGGTAGCAGGTCGGACTAGAGGAATGAATATTCCTGAAAGCTTAAATTTCAGCTGTTCCGAAGCTTAGCCATGACTCAGCCTGATCGTCAACTTATCGCCCAAGTTATGCTCTTCTCTCAAGGTTTCCGTACTGCTGAAGTCCTTGCGAATAAGATTGTTCCCTTGTTCATGTGGGCTGTTCATTTACACTAAAAACTTCTTCACTTATTCCCGAAGTAAGTTCTAATTTTTCATCCGAATCTTATATGTTCAGTCTTTGCAAGGAGCAGCTTTCGTCCCAATGTCACTACGATTTCGGTCTTCGTGCTCTGAAGTACGTGCTAGTGTCCGCAGGAAATGTAAAGCGTGACAAACTCGCTAAAATGGGATCGGCAGCGTTGGAAGATGTGGCCGAGCAGCAGGTGCACCATTTTGAAAATCTGATATTGCCCATTTTTTNTTTTTTCGGATTGCCAGACTATTTGATGGCCCTATTCGTTTTTAGATGTTGATTCAATCTGTCTGCGAAACATTAGTGCCGAAACTTGTGAGCGAAGACATTGCCCTACTTTTCTCACTGCTGTCTGACGTCTTCCCGTCGATTCACTACACACCAAATCAAATGATTGAGTGAGTTGGACTGATAGTTGTATTGCTTCCCTCATGAAAAGAGCTCATTCGATCAAATGTTTAGATTACGTCAACTTATTGCTCAAGTATGCGATGAACTCATGTTGTGTCACGCCGATATCACTGGCGAATTGGGAGCGGCTTGGATTGAAAAAGTGCTGCAACTGTATCAAATCACTAATCTCAACCATGGTCTCATGCTCGTCGGCCCAAGTGGTAGTGGTAAAACCACTGCATGGAAGGTGCTGCTCAAAGCATTGGAGCGATTCGAGAAGATTGAAGGCGTGGCCCATGTCATCGATGCAAAGGCAATGAGTAAAGACGCTTTGTATGGTGTACTTGATCCCAATACCCGCGAATGGACAGATGGATTGTTCACTTCGGTTATCAGGAGGTGAGTGTGAAGTTGCGATGCGTTCAAATTTGCTTTTTTTAATCCGTTGTGTCTTGTTGAAAACATATGTGAAAAACTGTTTCTTCTATTCAATCATTCTGAGATACCGTCAGTGCAATTGAATTTTTGTCCATTTGACGCNAGTCTCGATTTCTTCAATCTATGGTTCGAATCTGCTGGATCCGATTTTGATGATATTTCAGGATAATCGATAATGTCCGCGGTGAAAGTGAGAAACGACAATGGATCATTTTCGACGGTGATGTTGATCCGGAGTGGGTTGAAAATTTGAACTCAGTTCTCGACGACAACAAGTTGCTCACCCTACCAAATGGAGAGCGTCTGGCAATCCCACCAAATGTGAGTTCGTCTCCCATTTCTACTTTGTTTTCTTCTGAAGAGCTACTTCATCTTTTTTGCCCAAAATGGTCGTTGCGAACCTCAGTTGTGAAATTTATGGTTATGGTTCCTCGCTTTTCCCTTACGTCGCACGAATAAAGTCTGAATTTATCACTCCTTTAGACACATTGTTTTAGGTCCGTATTATATTTGAAGTTGCTGATTTGAAATATGCTACGTTGGCTACAGTATCTCGTTGTGGTATGGTATGGTTCAGTGATGAGGTGGGTAACATGGTTCTTCAGGTTTTCTTTTCATCATTCAATTCGTCTTATTCTTTAATACAGGTTGTAACGACGGAGATGATGTTCGAGCACTACTTGGCTCGCTTACGCAATGTCTCCATTGAAAGCGATGCAGTGATTGCCGAAGATGCAGCGCCGACTCGATCGGTTACGATTCAGAGACAGTGTGCCGCTTCGCTTCAATCTCATTTCTCTCCAGGTATGAACTCGAGCGTCGTCTAAACTCAAATGAGATTCAGTGAGCTCCTACATTCTGTTATCATAAGTGTCAAGCTATTTAAACGCCAGGGTGGTGTTGCTAAGTAGTGGGCGGAGTAATCAGAGTGACCATCGGTTTAAGGGTGAGTTGCTACTTGCCGGCAAGGGAAACTGTAGCAAAACACCTGTTCTTTTTAGTTCGTTTTTGATTTCATCGCTTGGCTACCTATTCCTTGAAGGTTGTGCACCTTTACTGTAAACCTGGGTAGTTTTAAAGTTATCTGAAGTAGCCATCCGTAGTGAATTAATGATAATGGGTCAATAAAAACTGGGCGTAGTGAAAAGTCATACGATAGTTAGCCGAGTGCAGTGTGGTCAAATTACAACCTTTTTGAGTTAGAATAGTCAGAATTAACCCAAAAGGTGGCAAATTCCTGCAATGAAAGATAGGTGGCAGTGTGAATGACGGTAGTATTTTCAAAAAAAGTTTCACAGGATTTTACGTAAATTTTGTCGAATTCGATTTTTGCATTTTCTTGGGGCTTGGATGATGCATTATCACACACGCATGGTTCGAGGATCAAATCCCGGATTGGTCCGGCCAGACCAAGGAAGCTTTCACACCTTCGGGGTCGGGTGCCAGACCCGTCTGGAAGGATAAAAGCACTGATTTGTACATTGGCTGGCCACTACAAGTCATTGCGTAGGCCACATACGCATTCAAAGCGCCTCTACGATTCTGAACGGATGTCTAGTGTGAGGCGCATCCCAAAGCGGGATTATTTAACGTCGAATGACTATCCTTAATTTTTTTACCCTTATTACTTGCCTGTGAAGTAGATCGTATCAGTCAGCGGTGAGTCTCAAGAACCAAACGGTTGGCTGAAAATGCTATAAGGCCATGCTTTCTATTCTCATACTTGGGTGGTTTTTGATTTCTTTATGATGATGGGTTGATGAAATTTACTCCTAAACTTTCTTTATTGTAGTAGGTGCTTCTACCAACTTTCTTCACTTTGTTGTGCGCTGTTGCTAATGTAAGTGGAAAAATCAAATGATGACTTTGCAGATGGCTTGGTTCCATTGGCTCTCAACTATGCACTTGCTAATCTCGATCATATTATGGTTCCAACGCAGCAGCGGCTCTTGTCATCATTCTTTGCCATGATGAATTACTCCGTTCGTTGTGTCATTAACCACGATGCTAGTCAAGGGGATTTCCCATTATCAGTAAGTCATTTGTACAGTTGTATTTTTTCACCATGCGCATAAGTTCGGAGAATCGCTGTGGATGGAGAATCACATAGTAAAGCTCGACGATTTTATAAGTTTTCTTTAAATGGGCTTGATGAGTAGTTTTTGTTTGCAGGCTCTTACGTTGGAGATAAATTAGTGAAATTAGTGCTCCAAAAATTCAAAGATGGGGTTTTCTAGTCGAGTCGGATCAGTATGGGTAAAAGATAAGAATGGACAGATCACTCTCACTTTCTGGTCTCACTGACTTGAGCGGGGCTTAGCTTGTATTCATCTGCTTTGTGGAGCTCTTAAGGGAACACAAATAATTCGAAAAGGCGCGGCTAATGACAGTTACATCTTGTCGAAGGAAATTTTCGTTCCAAATTGTTCGTATGTTTTCAGCCGGACCAGGTCGAAACCTATGTGACTCGAACAATGCTCACAAATATGATCTGGGCGTTCAGTGGTGATGGCAAATGGAAGTGTCGTCAACAAATGAGTGATTTCATTCGAAATTCAACTACCCTCACATTACCCTCCAATGAACAGGTACTCGAAAAGTCGAAAAGCTGCAATATTTTCTAAAGACAACAGTTTGCTATTACTATCCATAACTTGGGAAGTGAATGTGACCTGTTAAGGCTCCACTTATTGACTTTGAAGTGCAACTGAGTGGTGAATGGCAACCGTGGTTAAGTCGAGTCCCAGTCATGGAGATTGAAGGTAGCCTTTGGCTCGTTTTGATTTGTTAGGGAATAATTTGTTTTGAAAATAAGTAGTTCTTTTGCTTCTTATCTCTATTGAATTATCCGTTTGCAGCCCACCGTGTGGCCGCAGCCGATCTAGTCGTGCCAACGATTGACACCGTCCGTCACGAGATGCTCCTCTCGGCTTGGTTGTCAGAGCACAAACCTCTAGTTTTGTGCGGACCGCCTGGTTCCGGAAAGGTACTTCTATAAACTATATTTCATGCCTTTTCTTTCTATTTTCTTTTTTTTTTTTGATTATTCTTCATCTTTCTTTGCAGACAATGACATTGTTGGCCGCCTTACGGTCGCAACAAGATATGGACGTGGTAAACGTCAACTTCTCTTCATCGACTACGCCAGAACTGCTAATGAAGACGTTCGATCACTATTGTGAATATCGCCGCACACCGAATGGCATTGTCCTGGCACCAGTCCAGCTGAGCAGATGGTTGGTGATCTTCTGTGATGAGATCAACTTGCCAGCTCCCGACAAATACGGTACTCAACGTGTGATCAGTTTCCTGCGGCAACTTGTGGAAATGGTACGGTGATACTCGCTTGTGTTAAGAAACTTCGTGCACGTCTCTATTTACTGCTTTTTAGAATGGCTTCTATCGGTCATCGGATCACTCTTGGGTGTCCCTGGAGCGAATCCAATTCGTCGGCGCCTGTAACCCTCCAACAGATCCTGGCCGTCATCCAATGACGCTGCGCTTCTTGCGTCATGTTCCCGTGGTGTATGTTGACTATCCAGGGCAGACGTCACTTCTGCAGATTTACGGAACCTTTAACAGGTTGGAACTTTTGCTAGTGTAAATTATTTTCCGTGACAAGGGAGGGGGGGNGGGGGGGAGGGTTTAAATCGGTTAGACTATTCGGTCCTTATTGATTAGCAGTGACTTCAAACTAATATTATAGAGCTATGCTCAAAACAGTGCCAGCAGTCCGAGGCCTTGCCGATCCACTCACTAATGCCATGGTCGACGTTTACTTGGCCAGTCAGGTGAGTTTTTTGCTGTGGCAAATTTCGTCTGTTTTTTCTTCACGGCGTGATCCAGGAAAAGTTGAATTTTCTCAGGAACACTTCACTCAAGATGACCAACCTCACTATGTATATTCGCCTCGTGAACTTACCCGATGGGTTCGTGGAATATCTGAAGCTATTGCTCCGCTCGATGGAATCAGTCCTGATCAGCTGGTTCGCCTTTGGGCTCACGAAGCACTGCGATTGTTCCAAGATCGACTCGTTACCGAAGTTGAACGCGAATGGACTGATGAGCTGGTTGATTCGACAGCGGAAAAGTTTGTTTTGGTGTTTTTGGCTTTGATATCCTTCATTTCTCTCAGTCGTTTCTTTAAAATTAATATCTAAAAGGAGAGAAGCGTGGTAGCACTGGATTTGTACACGCAGTTGTAAGGTTTCTGCTGGGAGGCTGATTTCCATCGTCAGAATTCGCCCTCCGCGCTGGAGCTTCTTTAAAGAGTGATTAAAGTTACCCTACTTCCTCCACCTTACCCGGTATAATTCAGCATTGACTCGGGAAAAGTAATAACCAATAAGCATCGCTGATACGGCCTTGTTCAGGTACTTTGGTGGCGCTTGCAATATCAAGGAATCGTTGCGTCGTCCTCTCCTTTACTCGTGTTGGTTATCGAAGCACTACGTTCCAGTTACAAGAGACGAACTCAAAGATTATGTCACCGCAAGGCTCAAAGTGAGGTTTCCCCTAGACTTCTCTATCCTAAAACTTCAAACATATGCATCCATTTGTTAAGGGTTTCTACGAGGAAGAACTTGACGTGCAATTGGTCCTGTTCGATCAAATGCTCGATCATGTACTGCGTATCGATCGTATTTACCGCCAACCTCAAGGCCATCTATTGCTTATTGGTACTGCTGGAGCTGGAAAGACAACTTTGTCAAGATTTGTGGCTTGGCTTAATGGGCTTAGCGTATTCCAGGTTAGTATGCATCTGTATTTTATCGATAACTATGGGTATTTTCTATTCGGATGGTTTTCTCTTCAGCTCAAAGTTCACTCTAAATACACTGCTGCCGATTTCGACGAGGATATGCGAACAGTTTTGCGACGAGCTGGCTGCCGTAACGAGAAGATGTGCTTCATCATGGATGAATCAAATATGCTGGATACTGGTTTCCTGGAGAGATTGAACACGCTGTTGGCCAACGGTGAAGTGAGTGAGACCCCTTAATTTTCGTCCTAATAGTTGCATATTGTGTAGTTGTTTATTATTGTTTTTCTTATTTAGGTACCAGGCCTGTTTGAAGGTGACGAACACACTACCCTTATGACACAGATCAAAGAAGGAGCGCAGCGCCAAGGTTTGATGTTGGATAGCCCTGATGAATTGTACAAATGGTTCACGCTGCAGGTGAGAAATTTCGTTGTTGTTGGATTCTGTTTTTTCCACTTCGAGTGAATTCTTTTATTCGTGCAAGATTGTAGTTCGAGTCACGGTTTCTTATTTATTCTTTGTGTTTACTACATCTGTCTTCAGGTCATGAGAAATCTCCACGTTGTGTTCACTATGAATCCATCTGGTAGTGGTCTTCGTGAACGAGCGTCCACGTCACCTGCTCTGTTCAATCGTTGTGTACTGAACTGGTTTGGTGACTGGGCCGATACAGCTTTGTATCAGGTAAGGAAGACGTATTCATGGCTTATCTGTTGGACTTGAACGACACTGTTACTCTACCTCTTTTGATGTAATTTATCGACTTCGAGCGAGGCATTGAAGCGGCACATATCGCTTTTGAACTGGTGATGAAATGATAGTTCAGACGGGATCTCAGGTTTTCTTTTTTCGAGTGGGTCCTACTACGAAGAATAATTTGCCAAAGGTTTTGTAATATCAAACGAGGAAGGATTCAAGGTCCTCAGAGCATAGTATAAGAAGGGCACAAAACTGCTAGTTGATTTTCTTGCAAAGGAAGCGATAAAGAATAAAGCGTAGGGTAGAATTGGGAATTAAGTTGAGAAAATCATGCGACTGCTCAAGAGTGGTTCGCTTTAGTTGCCGAGAAGGCAGAATTTGCAGAACGTGAGATAGTTGATAGTTCAGCGGCTGAGAAAGATTTTTATGGCCATCACTATGAAATCGTGATTGTTCTCTGATTTTTTTNCATTCACGGATGGTCTCCTTCAGGTTGGAATGGAGCTAACCAACACTTTGGATATGGATCGTACCGACTACGAGCCACCGTTTGCATTGTCGACTGTGTGTGATTTGGTGCCAACTCCGCCTACGTACCGTCATGCTGTAATCAACACATTGGTGCACTGTCACAAATCTGTGCAGAAGCTTAATGAGCAGGTCAGCATCACTCATTTCATTCGCTTGTGTTGTTTGCTATGAAAAACTTTGCAATTTTTCGAAAAAAATTTTTTTCTTGGTTCTTGTGAAAGTAGGGTTTTTACGAAAACAGTGCAGCTGCACTTTGAGTGATAAATGTCGATAAGTACTTGACTTAAAATTTCATTCACTCGCGGTAAACGAAATGGCATTGTAATTGATCCATCGCCTTGCAGGATTCTTTGGTAAGTTGATATAGATGGGAAACTAAAGGGTTGCTTTCCATTTCTCCTTGGTTAATAAATCTGTTCTCTTGTCACTGTCACTAGGGTCTTTCTCTTTTCCTTACTTTTCGAATCTGAGTTGAATCTCTTTTTAGGAACAAAAGCGAGGACACAGAGTGATGATTGTGACACCACGTCACTTCCTTGATCTCATTAAACATTTCATGAGCTTATTCCACGAGAAACGTCGTGACCTTGAAGAGGAAAAGGTATGAATAGGAACATTTCGGTTGCGGTACGCACCGCATCAATATTCACGTTATGGATTCAGAAAGCCATGATTTAGGTGCATCTCAACATCGGTCTGAATAAGATCCGTGAGACGGAAGAGCAAGTGAAGGAACTGCAGAAGAGTCTGACATTGAAGAGTCGTGAACTGGAGGAGAAGAAAACGGCTGCTAACTTGAAGCTGAAAGAGATGTTGGCTGATCAGCAAAAGGTACGAAATATTGTTCTTTTCTTACGTCGTCTCATAGGTAGATCTGAATGGCCGTAATTCAAGGCAGAAGATGAGAAACGTCTGTCCGAGCAACTTCAAAAGGAATTGTCTGCACAGCTCACGCAGATAGCAGCGAAGAAAACGGAAGTTCAGAAGGATCTAAGTCAGGTGAGTGGCCTTGGCAAATCGATTCTTTTTCCTTCGTTCTTCGGAACTTGGTTTTTAATATCGGGAAAATCTGAGGATCTTTATGAACTTTTATGTTGAACCTTATCAGGTCGAGCCGGCTGTCGAAGAAGCCCAACAGGCTGTCAAAGGAATCAGAAAGAACCAGCTTGTAGAGGTCAGGTCTATGGCAAGTCCACCGGTGATGGTAAAGCTTGCGCTCGAGGCAATTTGTATTCTGCTTGGAGAAAATGTTGGTACGGATTGGAAGGTGAGCGGCTTAGCAAATTTTTTAGATGAAACTTCAAAGGCAGATTTTTACACAAACTCCATCCTCCCTGATGCTTATCCATTCAGGCAATCCGTGGTGTTATGGTCAAAGACGACTTCATGCCGCGAATCCTTGCTTTCGATACTGACAGTATCACAACAGACATTCTGAAGCAAATGGATAAATATGTGAATAATCCGGATTGGGACTTCGACAAGGTAAGCTCTTCGGCTTCCATTTCTCACATTTTACTTCCTATTGTCTATAAAATTACGTTGATGTCATACTAATCGAATTGTCACTCTGGGTCGTCTTATTTCCTCAACTTTATTCACTAGTAATTTACCTCTTGGGTTCGGCTCATCACCTCGGTTCTGCGACCACAGTTTAATTTGTTTTTTAGGTCAACCGTGCTTCACAAGCTTGCGGTCCTATGGTGAAATGGGCAAAGGCTCAGCTGCTGTACTCAGGAATGTTGCACAAGGTCAGTAACGCCTTGCTTAGACCCCTTTAGTTGTTGTATTGCAAGAGTTTTTTCCAGGTAGAGCCTCTTCGTAACGAGCTCAAACGGCTCGAATCTGACGCCAAGAAGAAGACCCAGGAAGGCAATGAGGTGAAAGCACGCATAGCTCAACTAGAGCAATCGATCGCTGCATACAAGGAGGAATACGCGCAATTGATTGGACAAGCCGAAAGTATCAAGATGGATTTGGCTACTGTTCAAGAAAAGGTTGGTGCTGCGATGTACCTGAATTTTCTCAGACTTGGCTACCGCTATTCAGGTTGGACGATCAACGGAGTTGTTGTCGTCGCTGAGATCTGAACGTGACCGTTGGTCTGGTGGTTGTGATGGATTCGCTCAACAAATGGATACGCTTGTTGGAGATGCGTTGCTTACTGGAGCTTTCCTTGCTTATGCGGGTTACTTTGATCAACAGGTGAGATGCTAATACGATAAACATTTGTATCAATAAAGCCCATTAGATTTTATCTGAGCACGGCTCAAAATCGCCTGTCGTAATCCCCTGTTTTTGAACTTATTTCCTCATTGTTCTGGTTTCATTATCATGCTGTATCTTTGTAGCTTAATCTATTTGGGCTGTTGGTTTCCCGGAAAAGTTACTTAATGAGCCTTAAGCAAACTCATATTTTAAGTTGTTCATATTTGCTATTTTCAGCTTCGAGACGTCTTGTTCCATCGCTGGATTGATCACGTGCATGGGGCTGGCGTGAAGTTCCGTTCTGATCTTGCTCGAATCGAGTACCTCAGTACTGTTGACGATCGCCTGCAGTGGCAGAAGAATGCATTACCGGTAAGCGCTGAAGAAGTGCTTAATCCTTGTCAGTTGCAAGTACCACTAATTGATAGCGGGCGCGTACAGGGGGGTTCATGAGGCATTCCGCCAATTTTCATAGAAGTATTACTTGTATTCAACGCAGGTGGGGGTGTGATGGTTCCGTGTCTTACCCATACGCTAAACATGTGCCCCACTTACAGTCATTTTTATTGAGAAAAGGACACACTGGTTCCGATTTGAATAGATCAGGTAGATACAACAAGAAAATCCTGCTTGCTTCACAAATCTGCCTTTCTCACGATCCCATTTTCTTCCTGGAAGTCTTTCATGACATTTTTCAGGTGGATGATTTGTGCACGGAGAACGCGATTATGTTGCATCGCTTCAATCGCTATCCACTTATCATCGATCCATCTGGCCAAGCTTCTGAATACATAATGAAGCAGTTCGCTGGAAGAAATATCCAGAAAACAAGTTTCTTGGATGATTCATTCAGGTCAGGAAAAGTTTTGAGGAATATCCATTGGATATTCTGGTTCTCAAACAGAATTTTTTCGAAGTTTCACCTTCCAATGCTTTCCGTAAATTGTCTTAAATGAAATATTTTAGAAAGAATCTCGAATCCGCTCTTCGATTTGGTAATTCGTTGTTGGTGCAAGATGTCGAAAGTTACGATCCTATTCTCAATCCTGTTCTGAATAAGGAGGTAGAGCGGTTTCTCTTTTTCATAAGCAGCAATGTTTGTCCATTCGACTGATGTTGTGTTACATTGTGTGGCTGAACTTAGCAGTAGTTACTAGCCTTTTACAAAATTGGAAGTTTCGTCGAGGAGTTGTTGCAATATTGTCCTGACTCGGCTAAATTTCCTTCCATCTTCAGGTAAAACGTACTGGAGGACGTGTTCTGATAACGATCGGAGATCAGGACATTGACTTGTCGCCAGCATTCCAGATATTCCTCATCACTAGAGATGCTTCGGTAAGCTTTGAATGGTTAGGCTGCTGCTATGCTTTAATTAGAATCGCAAGGGCTTCTTCATTTTGAGACTGTGCGCAAATGCAAACTGTCTCATTCACTTACCATGTACTACCATATAGTACTTTACTGTTTTCAACTTTTTGTGCTGCAAATTCTCCTCCGAAAATTAGATGATTAGACCCTTGACAGCCGTACGCCGCAGCGTTTTACGGCTTCGTATTGGCCTAGAAGTGATACTCCCTTATAGCCTTTTAATTTTTTTGATTCTGGAGGCAAGGTTGCTAGTTTAAGTAGGAAACCCAATACTTCACTTTATCAGCGCCGAGGGATTTCGTAAGTGGATAGTCAGTATAAAGCTTTCAGGTGGAGTTCACTCCTGATGTATGCTCTCGAGTGACGTTTGTCAACTTCACTGTCACATCCTCAAGTCTTGCTAGCCAATGTCTCAATCAAGTTCTCCGAAGTGAACGACCAGACGTTGATAAGAAGCGTAGCGATTTGTTGAAGCTGCAGGTAAACTTTGATTCAGACGGTATTGAAGTCTTTGCATTCGAATCATCACCCAAGCCTTTCTGTTCAGGGAGAATTTGCTGTGCGCCTCCGCCAACTCGAAAAAGCGCTGTTAGCAGCATTGAACGAAAGCAAGGGTAAAATTTTGGACGACAACTCCGTTATTGGCACTCTCGAAAAATTAAAGAACGAAGCGTCAGAAGTGGCAAAGAAGGCAGCTGAGACTGATAAAGTCATGGCTGAGGTGAGTAGAAATCTCTTGTTTGGTGATGGTGAAAGCTGTAGCGAATTACCAGTTTCGAGTTTCAGGTGGAAGCGGTTTCTGCTCAGTATCAACGACTGGCTCATGCCTGTGCCCAGATTTTCCATACTTTGCAGCAGCTCAACGAGGTCTGTTCGAGTAGTCTTTATAGGAATACCCTCTAATTTTCTTTAGAGCATAGTTTTGGCGTGCTGTTCCGAGTAGCTGCAACAATGTCGTTCAGGTGCACTTCTTGTACCATTACTCGTTGGACTTCCTTTTGGACATCTTCACTTGTGTGCTGAAATCTCCCGAATTGGTTCAAACTCAAGATCATATGCAGCGGCTCAATATTATCACGTCGAATTTGTTCCAAGTACGTAATTATTGGTACTTATGCTTTTAGATCATATTTCGCTCGTACTCGGAGCAGTTGTCGCTACTTTCGTCAGGTTTACATTGGATCTTATATTGACGCATTCAATGTTTTTCGAAGCACCTGGACAGCGATTTTCTGATTTTCGAGCAAAAATTCCCAATTTTAAAACGATTAGCAACTTTAATTTTTGAAATGGAATGTTTTTGTCCAAAAAATTTGTGTGGCTACCGTATGCACACTCAAGTTCGTTCGGAAACGTGACTTGGGTCGGGTAACTTGGTTGGTGGATTTAAGCAACCACTAATCATATACTTGTCTGCCCTACCGCATTTCTGACTGCTTATTTTTATTTTTCTACCAGTCCGAGCATCAGGTGTTTGTTAAAGAGAAATTGAATTAAAATTGTTCAAAGTACAATATATTGTCCGGTTCTCAATTTCTTTTTTTAAATTGCTTCTTGATTTTTATGCGTAAGACTGACCTCATCCATTTCAGACAGTTTATCGTCGTGTGTCACGCGGTATGTTGCATGCGGACAAGGTACTGTTGGCCTTGCTGCTCATGCGAATTTCTCTACGATCTGTGGGTGGCGAACCATCGTACGATGCACAATGGGATCTTTTGCTCGGACGCAGTGAACTCTTTGCATCAAAGACGGCTCATCAATCACCACCAACAGCTCTACCATATCTCACTCCTCAGCATATGGGTGCTCTGAATAAAGCACAGAAACTACCAGGTTTTGAAAATGTAAGTTTAATAGTCCTTAGTCAAAGTAATAGTTTTAGGGAAGCCCAGGAGATATTTTTCGTTTTGTAGATCCTGGATATCATGTGCGCTCAAGCCGCGCAGATTAAGCAGTGGATGGCTTTGGATAATCCGGAAGCGGCAGTTCCTACGCTTTGGGAGGATTCAGAGCAGAAATTGAGTAAGTTTTTGGGATTTTACCCGGTTTTCGATTTACTTTTGTTTAATTTGTGAAATATTTGCAGCAAGTATTGGTGTTGCGATGAATCAGCTGATTGTGGTGCACTGCCTACGACCCGATCGTCTGATGGCCAGTGCTCATCGTCTAGTATCAGCAGCATTCGGTGAAAGCTTTATGCAACAGGATAAGGTTATCGATCTCCATGATATTATTGATAATGAGGTAAGTTTTTCGAAATATCCACCATTCACTCCCTTCTGGATATTATTATTGATAATTTTGTGATTATGTTTGTATATTAGTAATTTCGACTTATTTTGAGGTGTCCTCTTCTGATCCTGTCCTGCTATGCTCAGCCACAGGTTATGACGCCTCTGGTAAGATTGAAGATCTCGGAATACAAACGGGTCGACAGGTCACTTCGATTGCAATCGGTTCCTCAGAAGGTTTCAGCCAGGCTGATGCGGTAAGTTTCCATAAATCTATGCATTTCTGGTTTCTAATTTATTTATATCATTTGTTTTAATTTTCTTTAGGTTTTTTGTAACTCACGCCTATTAAGTTACTGTTCAGGCTCTCACAGCTGCGTCAAAGTCTGGCCGATGGGTGCTCCTCAAAAATGTTCACTTGGCACCTCAATGGCTTGGTAATATGGAGAAACGGCTGCATACCCTCAAGCCACATGCGAACTTCCGTCTGTTCCTCACCGCCGAAATTCATCCGAAACTGCCCACATCTGTACTCAGGGCTTCTCGTTTGGTAGTCTTCGAACCAGCCACTGGACTGAAGGCCAATCTGTTACGGTCATTGGCTACCCTTCCTGCTACTCGCCTTGCTAAAGCTCCTGCTGAACGTAGTCGGCTATACTTGCTCATCTGCTGGCTCCATGCTCTGGTTCAGGAAAGACTGAGGTGGGGGACTTTGGTGATTCGCCCAGGAAGTTGCATTCTAACCACTTCTTTCTAGGTATACACCTCTGGGTTGGGCAAATGCGTACGAGTTCTCCGATGCAGATCTACGTGTTGCATGTGATACTCTCGATGCAGCCGTTGATGTTGTGGCCCAAGGTCGTGCCAACGTAGCTCCGGAGAAGCTCCCATGGACAACATTAAGAACGCTGCTCAGTCAGTGCATCTACGGAGGAAAGATTGACAACCACTTCGACCAGGTAGGGCTCCAGCTAGCGGCCGTGGGATTTCAATTATTCATTAGTAATCTTCATATTCTCAGGTTCTACTCGACTGTATCTTGGAGAGGTTGTTTACGGCAAAGAGTTTCGAGCCAGAACATGTACTTGTTAGTAAATTCGATGGCGACACCCCACTGACCACTCCTGATGCGACACAACGTGACCAGCTTTTGGCTTGGGTTGAAGGAATCAAGAGTCAGCAGGTTGGTGGGGTTATGATGTTATCTATTTGATGTCTTGTCCAGTAAAATTTTATCTATTTGTTTATTTATTTCATACCTTCAAAGGTGTGCCTGTAAATTGATTTTTAAGCTTCCTGCCTGGCTAGGATTGCCAAATAATGCTGAGAAAGTGCTGCTCACATTGAGAGGTATAATTAGATATTGCTTTGAAAATTTTCACCGGCTTTCTGCTAATTAATAGTAACGCTTCTTAAGGCGAATCGATGTTGAGAAACCTCCTGAAGGTGTCTGATGATGAGCTGGCGTTCGTTGGTGACGGCGAGAAAGAAGTGAAGCCACAATGGATGGCCCAGTTAGGAGAACTAGCCCAGCAATGGCTGAAACTTTTACCCAAGGTATTCATTTAATTTGACTTTTTTTCAGCAAAACCCGCTTTGAAGCAAGCAGGGGTTTCCTTAGTGTAAGCTGGCTAAAAATGACTGCGGGTTGATCGATATTCATGTTTAACAAGAGTAGCAGGCGAAAAGTTTCTTTGTATAGGAGCTTTAGGGCAGGCCCTATAGATGGCTTGGGTGTCCAAAAGCAATCCTCGATCACTTTCAGGATATCGTACGAATGAAACGTACCGTGGAGAATATCAAAGATCCACTATTCCGTTTCTTCGAGCGAGAAATCAATTTGGGAGCTCAGTTGCTACGCGATATCCGACACGATCTCGAAGAAATTCTCTCCGTATGCCGCGGTGAGCGTAAACAGAGCAATGAAACGCGAGCCCTTGCGTCAGCCCTACAGAAAGGAGTTGTAAGTTTTGCAGCTTTCCTCGATTCGATTGCAATGAAGGGTACAGTTTGTACGACCTGAAGTAAATCCGGTTCTTCAAGGTTCCCACAAACTGGCAACGTTACACTGTTCCTAAGGATGTAACTGTTATGGATTGGGTTGTCGACTTCAACGAGCGGGTCAAACAGCTCATACGGGTCGGTACCAGTGATAATCTGAAGGTAAGCGAGTGCACTTTGTTTTCTGGATAGAAAAACAGCGAAATGAACCCAAAGGTTACTTGAGGCAAGGGAAAAGCATTCGCACAAAGGAAGGAAGTGACAAACAGTAACAGAGGTATTTTTCGTCAAGTTCAAAGGGCGGTTAAAGGGGCCGTGTAATACTTATTGTGAGTGGAGGACTTTACTCGTGCAGTTTTCTCGTAAAGAGAGAAAAAGAAACGTGCGAGAAGGTAGGAGAGTTCGAGAAGCCCCATTAGTTCTCAAGGATAGTTTATGATACTGAAAATGGAATTCCTAACGATTCAAGCAGAAAGGAAAGCTGAGGTCCACCATGCCCTGTCACCATTGAGCGTTGACTAATCACTTTCAAGTGAGACACGTCCTACAGGATTGATTTAGGCATTCGAAGTCACAGAAACTCTTAATCTTTTCAATTGATATCTGCCCCCTCTTAGTGCTCAATTGTATCCCAAATCTCAAGAGGATTTTATAGCGCGAAGAAGTGTGGCTGGGTGGTACGTTCTCGCCAGAGGCCTATGTGACAGCTACGAGACAGCAAGTTGCTCAAATGAATACGTGGTCGCTTGAACAGCTTCATCTACATGTGGTTATTGGAAGGACCGATCGTTTGGATGTTGTTCGTCTAACGGGTGAGTCGGTTGAAATATTCTCATAACAAGGTCCCGAGTCAATTGTTTTTGAAGTTTTTTGTTTGCTGTTGTTTCATCGCTTTGCCGCTTATTCTCCTGGCTTTCCAGATCCATTTTTTCAAGTTTTCCTTCCCGATTAAGTTTGAGTACTTCGGAGTTCTTTATATTTTGTTTTCAGGCATGGAACTTCGTGGAGCAGAAACTACCGGAGGAAATGCACTACGTCTTTCTGATGAGGTGAAGACGGCATGTGACTGTGTCGAATTCTCATGGAAACAGGTGTGTACAGTTCATTTTATTCGGAAAGTTTTTTTTTTCAAAATTTATTAATTCACAATGCACACAAGCACTAACTTTACTATTTACTCTTTTTTTATCTTACTCATTTGAATAAGCCCCCCCCCCCCATTTTTTATCCGTGCTTCGCCTGTTATTTTACGCAACCTTTTTATTTCCTTACTGGATCGCAAGCTTTGGAATTAATGGGACTCATCTTTTGAGATATCATTGTTTACGTAATACGGCTGTCGGTGCGCTATCGGGTGGGCTATATTCGTGGGACCCATGGTAGGGTATCTATGATGGGGTACTCATGAAAAAGCGTCAAAGAAGGTTTTTTTGGTGTAAAATCAAGTTAGATAGACGGAATCCTGTTTAACCTAAGAATTAGGTTTTTCATAACCCTTCCAAATTCTCTTCTATTTTTCTTTTCTGAAAATTTTCGAAAATTACATTACTTTTTTTTCGAGGCCTTTGAATTCAGGAACCTGCTAACGGTGTCCGTCTACCGCTGTACCTGTACGGTGATCGTCGTCAATTGGTGACTGCTCTAGCGTTTGCCGTCTCACCGGCTACGGCGTTCTACGAGCGAGGAGTAGCCCTCGTTGCCAACGCGGCCCTTAGTTAAACTATGATTTGTGTTTGGAATTATTCGTATTGATCAATTTCTTCATAACACAATAATGTAAGCTTTTCGACAAAATTTTAGCTGAATTCACTCAAATTCCTATTAATATACTAGATGAAATGCTTGTTTTTTCTTTTCTATTTGTCAGTCCTGTTTTAATAGACTCACACAACATCCCCTTACTATTCATAATTTATTAGACATAATTTGTTCACAAAATGCTATTTACGGATTTGTACAACACGGTTTTTCATGTACGAGGAAATATCTCGCAACTTGTAATAAATCGAGCTTCTGTAATTGTAGTAGCTTTATTGGCAGGCGATTGTTGAAAGCGGGCCAAGTATCTTCATCATCCTTCACCAAGTTTTTTTATTTGTCTTTTTGTTTGTTTTTTCATCCTAGTTTTTCGAGCACTCTCAACAAAAGCGTTTATGGTTTAAAGTTACTTGTGCATTATTAAGCTGTTTTTATTTACCATATCACTAAAATAATCAATTAGCAATGATGAACATGTCGGCAGTGATGGTGACCATTTTGATGGCGTTTACGATGTTGTGGGAAGAATATGGTTTTGTCAATTTTGTCCTCCTGGTTTCCCGCTTCGGGAGATGCCTGCAATGGATTCGTTTATGTATTAGAAGCATACATAGTTGGCGTTGGTATAGGGGTGGTAGAGAGAAGGGCGGGTTGGGACGAACTGGGATTCGGCCAATTGGTGCTCTCGCAGCAGCAAGCAAAGGCCTTCTGATCGGCTGGTTCACTCCAATTCACTTGATTGATGTTTTCAAAGGTATTACCTCATGAACGGAATTGGGAACACTCGCAGTAACAATTATAAAAGTACATATTGCTAACTATCGTCGAGGCTTACAAAGTTGGCTCGGCCAGGTCAACAAAGCCTTCCCTCTTCTACTCCTTTTCCTTCTCCCGTTCCCATCCTCCGTTCTATAATTCCGGAATAGTGGGTGTGGCCCGGATTGAGAGGATAGAAAAGGATCACTCGAAAGGATCGAACATGTTATTATACGCTTTGTTGATGAACGTTCTATTAAGGAATAAGGCTGCGGATGTACTAGGATTCCTCTGCTACGTGTGTTCGTGCACGAATCTTTCTAGAGAAAAACGAAGTGGACGTCCCCACTCACACATTATCAAGGTTGTGCAAAGAGCGGAGCTCAATGTTGCTGCGAAATGATTAATGATGAAGGGAAAGGACGTCAATCTTCAAGTATGTCAACAAAGGACATTCCTTCTTTCGCACAGTAGATGAACAACGTTCAAAGTACTCTTCGAAGGTTATTTAAAAAGTTGACAAAAGCTATAGAGTTAGGTAAACTACATAACTTTCAAAGAATTTGTCGGAGTGGTGTCGTGCCAAGTGGTACTCTGTCACACACGCATGGTCACGGGCTCAAATCTCAGACTGATCTTCGCCTAGGCCAACCAAGCCTTCCATTCCTCCGGGATAGGTTAACTGAAGCCAGGATTTGTGAGTGAAGACAAAAACATTGACTTTTGCAGTGGCTGTCCACCGCCAGCCATTGTATAGGCTATACACCCATTGAAACGCTACTGCGATTTTCAATGGAAGTAGGTTGCGGGGCGCATTCCAAAAACGGGACTGCTCATTCATTACAATATAAATGATCACCTTCTCAGGGGCGTTTCGCTGGTCGGTTGAATGAATAGAATTCTTGTTATTCGACGTTGATTGCTCATTGAAGAGGCGGCTTTCAACCTGAAGTAGGGAATTACTATAGGCCATCTTTTATTATTAGGTTGATGCATAATTATTGCGGATTTTTTCGCGGCTCTTTTTCTCTTAAAAGAATTTGACTTTCGTATTTGGGTTTTTTCTAGAAATGTTCTACTTGATTTCCTCTACAAGAATATACTCAAAAAGCTATCCGCATATTCGCGAAATTAGGCTTAACTACTTCGAGAAAGATTGGAAGGTGGCACAGTCATTCCGCGATCTCAGCAACTTCCCGGCGATCGTTCATTAGGTGATTTAGTGAAGGTACATATGATTTCTTGGCGGTTAAACACGATTATTTTGATATTTTCTATTTCCCCTGCATTTTACCTGCCTCTATATATTAGGTTTATGCATAATTATTGCGGATTTTTTCCAGCAAATTTTACTTAAAGAAACTATAGAAATACTAAGCAAAGACATATTCAGATAATTACTCCGGAAC